ATATTCATATGAATGATTATTGTAACGATCCAGCTGGTCACTACACACTGCGTAGCACACTAGAAATACTACACAGAAAGGAACAAGTGTATACATATAGGGTCTAAAATATATACATATACAAGATCCAAGTCTGAATAGAGTTAAAGTGTACAAAAATACATCAAATGCTACTACACCAAGTAGCTATAAATCATCAAAACATAAGGAATTCAACCCTATCTGCCATCCGCAGTCTTGCCACTAGCGTCCAAATACCATGGAAACAACCAAGGGTAAGCTAGTGAAAAGAAATCAACATACATATATAACAATATGATTAGTAAACAGCTACAGCTATCAGCACACCAGCACAGCTAAATATTACACCACAGCTTTCAACAATATCAGCACCGCAAAGCGACAATATCAGCACTGCATAGCAGCAATAACAGCACCACTCAAGTGGCTATAACAGCATCGCATAGCGACAATAACAGCACCAACATAGCGGCTAGAACAGCACCACAATAGTGACTAATAACAGCACCGACATAGCGGCTAGAACAACACCACAATAGTGGTTAATAACAGCACCGACATAGCGGCTAGAACAGCACCACAATAGTGGCTAATGATCAACATATAGCTCAGCTAACACAACCCACAACACAGCACAGCAAATCAGCATACAACACAACTAAGTAGTATTCAACACAGCTTACTACTCACAACTCAGCTCAACATTCTATAGTACAACAATACTATATTTCAGCATTTAAAATCACTAATCACAGCCCAGTTCAGCACAACAATATACATCTATCACAGCCTAACCTCAATATTCAGCACTATCATCTAGTCATTTCAGCATATTCATTAATTACAGCTTAGTACATCATAAACAACATTTATCAGCAAATTTTCAGCATAATTCAACAACATCATACGCGCCCGGCGCACTCATAGTCGCGCCCGGCGTGGCGCAACCAGAGAGCACCAGGGGTCACCGCGCCCGGCGCAAGAGTGCCCGCGCCCGGTGTGACCCAGCCAGAGAGCTCAAGGCTATATATATATATATATATATATATATATATATAATTAGCTCATTAATTTTTTTTTCTCTTTTTCAGTTAGTCCCTAAAATTAATTTATTGTGATTTGAAATCGGATAAAGAAACAATAAATTGTGACAATTTTACACACTTCAGAGACTTAATTACTAAAATGTAAAAGATATTTAATTATGATTTTTTAGTTTAAGGATGTAATTAAAAAATATATATATATACATATAATTTATAATACTAATTAATGTATTAGATTATTTATATATTCTTAATTATGCTTATTTGGAGACAACTAAAATATGCAAAATTATAAATTTTTTAATAAATTAAAGTGCACCGTATTTCATTATCAAGTTTAGAAGAACCTTGGTCACTATAACTCCTTCCTTTTGGCACCTTCTTCATCATTTATCTAAAATAATTATTGAGTTAGTTAAACACACTTTCCCATGCATGCTCCATAATCAATCATTGCCTTTTCATATAATAATAATAATAATAATAATAATAGTAATAATAATAATAATAATAATAATAATAATAATAATCCTATAGATAAACAAGTAAATACATTTAATATTTTAGAAATATAAAACACGATCAACGCTTATCATGCAAAAGAAGTATGAATACGTTACAAGAGGATTAAGTAGAAAAAAATTGACAGAAGAGGATTAAGAATTATATGTATTCTAATATAAATAGAAATTAAGTAATATGCTTTATAAATCGGTAATGGTATTTTTTTAATAAAATATATATAAAAAATAGTTAGCACTTAACATGCTTGTAATAAATTTTATAATATATATATATATATATATAATTTTACTTAATTAATCAAGTTAAAATATTCATTCATTCGATGTATTTATATATTCATTGGCATATTAGTCTTCATTTACTTCGATAACATAAAGTCTTAAGCATAAATGGAATTACTTAGACTCTAGGAGCCTTAGCCCCATAACATTTTTACGATTTAAAAAAAAATGATGTATAATATATTCAAATAATTAGGACATATATTTATATTTTATGTTTTAATTCTGAAGACATTTAAGTTTTTTTTTTATAAAAAAATAAAATAAATTTTATAATATTTATTGTGAAAATATTTTATTTCTTTTTTTAATATATACAGTCTTCATTTTGAAAATAATTGCATTTTTATTTACGCAAAATATTTAAGAATATTTTTAATGTTTTTTTTTCTTATAACTTGTGTTATTTTAAAGATTAAAAATGAGTATTCATATTTAACTGTATTTATTAGTCTTTATTTTATATGAATATAATCATGTAGAAATTATAAAGTGTTTATTATTAATCTTTGTAAATGGGACAAACATGCAAACATTATATAAGACATTTTACACTTAATCAATATGTTTTCCCTCTGAAATTTATAATCTCGCAAATTGTGTTAAATTTTGTGTTCTTTATTTATATACACATCATTATGACTTTATGTTTGGTTGAAAAATGTTGTTATTAATATATAAAATATTAAATCCTAAATTTTTAACAACATAAATTTTAGTTTATATTTGATAAAATATTGCAAAAGTATATTAGTAAAGTTTATTCATAATTTATTAACATTTTTTTAATGTTAATAAAAACACATTTTATTGTAATGTGTGAATTAGGAAGGAGAAGCTCAATGAGGATGAGGAAGTAAATTAAAGACCACCACAAGACAATCAAAGTAAAAGCTGACCAGAACAATAAATTAATTAACACACATAAATAGAAGAATAAAATGGTAAATCGTCACATAAATTTTTCCTCAAATCCTCTCATTTCAACGAGGATAAAAATCATGTGGGACCTATTGCTACAAAAAAAAATGTATATGTAATGACATATTTTATAGTGACATAACATGTGTCATTATAAATTATTTCTACCTATACTATAAATATAATATATTTTAATATATTGTTAAAAAGTATACACTGATACATAATATATGTTATTAAATCTCATTCAATATCAATATTAAAATTATGTATAATTATATATCTAATATATGTGTGTGTGTTAAGGATTTAGGATTTAGGATTTAGATGATATATATATCTAAATCCTAAACCCTAAATCCTTAACACACACACACACACATATATATATATATATATATATAAGATCGAA